TATAGATACATGAATTGAAAATAAAAAAATCGATTAAATATGAACCTTCATAAACCGTTTAAGAAACTTAAAAACTATTCTTTATTGTTTATTTTGGACGAAGTTTAATATGATTGTGGTTTTATTGGACAATAATCGAGTAACGGAAAAATATAACATTTATCTATAAAGTGAAAATTTAGAGGTATATTTCGTAAGATATTTCCTCTCTGATTACAAGAACTATTGTGAGCTATCAATCTAATGAAAGAGAGCAGATTTGGCCGTAATGAAAATGCAATACTTCGAAAATCAATGCAAAAAAGATTAATTTGTTAGAAACAATCGACTATGACACTGAATTCTAAGAGCAAACGTTTACATTAGGATATTTTGATCATTTCCAAATATTGCAAAATTGCATTTAAACAAGTTAAGGAGAATACTATATTAACCGTGTTGTAAGGAAATATAACAATTTTAAAGATTTTGCGACAGAATTTGAAAAATATGAAAATCAGATATATAAAAATTGAATAAAATAACATTATGATGGAATATAAGTAGATGAGCTATTAATGCTGCTATGATTTAAAATTGAGTAGTAATGAAATAGAATTTCGATTAAAAAAATTAATGTAATTGTATGAAAGCTTTGATCCTAATAATTAATATTCGCAAATATTTTAACCTACTAATAAAATTCTGATTATATTAAGATATTTTAAAAATGAGATTCCAAATTGAATGGTGATGGAGATGAAAATTTTTAAAAATATAAATAAGAGGATAAATTGATTGAGATATTAACTAGTAAATATTTGAAAAAGTAAATTATTTGAAATCCTTTAAAAATGTTACGGATAAAAGCTATATAAATAAAATGACTGGTGTAGTTGGTTAGCTTAATGTGTAATATCAAAAAGAATTAATGGGTGTTGTGAAGTGAGCAACTTTGAGAAGAATCATTTGTGATTCTTGTCAAAGTTGAATCAAAGACAACAATTGATAGACAATTGTTGTCTTTGTGTACAACATTCACTTGAATTATAAACAATAACAAGTGTTTGTTGTTCACTGAGCAACTTTGAGAAGAATCATTTGTGATTCTTGTCAAAGTTGAATCAAAGACAACAATTGATAGACAATTGTTGTCTTTGTGTACAACATTCACTTGAATTATAAACAATAACAAGTGTTTGTTGTTCACTGAGCAACTTTGAGAAGAATCATTTGTGATTCTTGTCAAAGTTGAATCAAAGACAACAATTGATAGACAATTGTTGTCTTTGTGTACAACATTCACTTGAATTATAAACAATAACAAGTGTTTGTTGTTCACTGAGCAACTTTGAGAAGAATCATTTGTGATTCTTGTCAAAGTTGAATCAAAGACAACAATTGATAGACAATTGTTGTCTTTGTGTACAACATTCACTTGAATTATAAACAATAACAAGTGTTTGTTGTTCACTGAGCAACTTTGAGAAGAATCATTTGTGATTCTTGTCAAAGTTGAATCAAAGACAACAATTGATAGACAATTGTTGTCTTTGTGTACAACATTCACTTGAATTATAAACAATAACAAGTGTTTTGTTGTTCACTGAGCAACTTTGAGAAGAATCATTTGTGATTCTTGTCAAAGTTGAATCAAAGACAACAATTGATAGACAATTGTTGTCTTTGTGTACAACATTCACTTGAATTATAAACAATAACAAGTGTTTGTTGTTCACTGAGCAACTTTGAGAAGAATCATTTTGTAATACTTTGAAACGCAAAATAGCATATTATGCTTTTATTTATCTATATGTGTCATTTTGGGAGACATTGTCTATGCAAGTCTCCCAGAATGACACATTCATACACAATCTTCTTCTGATTGTGTATCTTTTGTCAACAAAGTGCAACAGTGCACTGTTATTGTGTGCTATGCGTCATTCTGGGAGAAATTGTCTATGCAAGTCTCCCAGAATGACACATTCATACACAATCTTCTTCTGATTGTGTATCTTTTGTCAACAAAGTGCAACAGTGCACTGTTATTGTGTGCTATGCGTCATTCTGGGAGAATTGTCTATGCAAGTCTCCCAGAATGACACATTCATACACAATCTTCTTCTGATTGTGTATCTTTTGTCAACAAAGTGCAACAGTGCACTGTTATTGTGTGCTATGCGTCATTCTGGGAGACATTGTCTATGCAAGTCTCCCAGAATGACACATTCATACACAATCTTCTTCTGATTGTGTATCTTTTGTCAACAAAGTGCAACAGTGCACTGTTATTGTGTGCTATGCGTCATTCTGGGAGAAATTGTCTATGCAAGTCTCCCAGAATGACACATTCATACACAATCTTCTTCTGATTGTGTATCTTTTGTCAACAAAGTGCAACAGTGCACTGTTATTGTGTGCTATGCGTCATTCTGGGAGAAATTGTCTATGCAAGTCTCCCAGAATGACACATTCTTCTCAAATGTTCTTACACTCTATTAAAACTATTCATAAATACAATTTCAATCTTATCCTCATTTTCTTCCTATTACACGTATCGAATCCCAACCTACTGAAACACTTATTCCTCACAATCATTCGCAAATTTTTCTAATCTATGTTTTCTCAACTATTATCCTTTACCTTCATAACAGCATTTAAATATTCCTAATGAAATTGAATGTTTTCATATTAAATACTTAATCACACAAAAATTATATTATCAAATTTTTATATCATTCTTAAATTCCAGATTATATTGCTTACTTTGCAAGCTAACTATAATATAGTGTGATAGCCTTATTGAACTTTGATCAAATACTCCTTCGTCCGTTAAAAATTAAGATGCGTTTAAAAAATCGGAAAAAATTCTTTTGTTTTATTTTTAATTTTTCAACCGATAAAACTTTTTAGAAAAACTCCAAATTCCAAGAAATGCTTAGATTCAATATGAAGAACATATTCATACAGTCATTTCGTTTCAAATTTCAATTTTCAAATCGAACAAAGCTGCAAATTTGAATACTTTACAAAATTTTGAAACGTCTTTTCCCGAATGAATATTGAGTTTCAAGCCGGACAAGCTATAGCAAAACAGATCCTTATGACCCACTCTATCATTTTGGTTTTTTTGCAAAACGTGGGTAAACACCCATCTCATAACACATTTTTTGCAAAATTTGGTAAAATCCGTGTAAATGCTCAGATACATGTGGCCAATAATATTTGAATACTGACAGGTCCGGATATTAGGTTTAAATAGCTGATTTAATTCGAAATATGAAAAAAGATGAAATCTCAATGTAATATAGTAAATTAAGAATCAGTATGAATGGTTATATGATTTTGATTAAGGGTTTCGTTTTGCTAAAATTGTCACTTTTATAGCATATTTGTTTTTGGATGTTTTGCGAAACCAAAAAAAAAACTATGATATACAATGTGTGTGTAAAGAAAATACTTTATTTACTAGTTAAAAAATCATTTGGTATTGATCAAGTTAGTAGTAGGATAGGAAGGGGTGTGTGACTTTTTTTGTTACGTCTATATATAGATGAAGGTATATTTTAATATCTTCTATACATAGATGATATAAAAATTTTTTCTTACGTTTTTTAAGTCATGAATTTGTAAGAAAGCGCGACATTATTAAATAAATTAGTAATAAATATTATATACTAAACGCATTAAAAAATTAACATTAATTTTAAAATAATTTATTTTTTATCTTTTATAAAAGAAGCTATATATAGATGATGTCAGATATTCCGCGATTAATTAAACATCATTTAAATCCTGAATGGAATCAATGGAGTCATAAACTTTAAAAATTCATGTCTTACATTTTAAAAGAATATATTTTTAATTCGTATGAAATGAGTGTCAAAACTAACGACGTTAAAAAATTGGGATTCACAAATGAGGAAATAAAGGATATATTAGAGGAGGCGGGTTATGAGGTTGATAAATATTATTTAAGAAATTGTCAAAAATTCGCGGAGTTTTTAAATGAGTTTGATTATGATGGAAAAATGAATAAAGATGATGTTATAAATTTCTTATATCCCACATCTAAAGAAGAAAAACCTAAAGAACCTGATGTTTTCCCCGAATATTATGAAGAACGGATTAAAGATGATGAATACAATGAAATTGAAAGACTAAAAAAAATAAGAGATGAAATAGATGAAAGAATTAAGGAATTAAGAGAAGTTGAAAAATATAATGAAAATGAAGTAGAGGGTTTAATGAATATCCCAGCTTCAGAATCAGAAGTTCAGAAATCTCATGAAGAAAGATATAAAAATTATGTCTCAGAATCAACACAAAATTTATTAGATGGTGAAATAGACGAAACACTTTCAGAAGAAGGTACTAAATTTATTCGTAAACATAAGTTACAATTTATTGATAATGAAAAATACCCCTGTATCCTACTTTCACCACCTTTAGATTCCGAAAAATTCAAAAAAGCTCTTAAAAACGTGACATATGCAACTAATACGATTAAGAAAGAAGACCATGATATTTACACAAATTATTATTTAAATAAATGCACAGGTGTTGATAAAGTTTTTGATTTATTAGATAAAATATCAAAAGAAACCATTGGAACCTATAAAATTTTGTGTGATTGTGGTTTCATTATTGAAGATACCAATAATGTTTCATATGAAAGAACAGCACCGAAGGAAGACGAAGTTGAAAGGTCTATACCATTCGTTATTAAGAATATAAAAGATATGAAAACTTATAAACATTATATTTATTCATTTATTTCAGAAAAAATGGAAGCAACCCATAAAACATCTTCTCATCATTTTATAGCTATTCATACATTCCTTTTCAAAGTTGTGAAATTAAATAAGACAGGAATTAGATTTAATGTATCAGGGTACGCATTCTTGAGTAAATTAAAATGTATTCGTCACGTCGCAGATGATAAAAATTTATGTGTTCTTAATTCATTTTATGGGCTTTAAAAAATAAACTTTATTTTTTAATTTTTTATTCTTACATAAATGAACAAAAACGGAACCGCTAAAATGAATGATAATCAAATTAGAGCAGAAGGTAGAAGGTTATTTAAACGCTTCTATAACATTCCTGATGGTGTTAATCCTAAAACTCGTAGAAGTTATTTAAATGAAGCAATAGATTCATATGAAGGGTTTGACATTTCATCAGAAAGTGAGAGATTAGCGAGAATGTTAAATGTTAATCTTGATTTCTATTATTGTGATCCTCAACCAGAAGACGTGGACATAAATAAGGTAGACTTTCCATTAGTGGAATCAATAATGATAGATCCAGAATTTGAAACAGTAAATATTTTATTAACACAGAGTCCATGTGGAAAACTTCACGCTGACAGAATAACAGACGTTGAAGCACTCACCGGCTATAGAGTTTGTCCATATTGTAAAGAAGAAGTTTATTCTATCCGTGATGATCCAGAAAGGAAAAACCAAAGAAGATTTTTAAAGCATTGTGAGAAATGTAAAGAAAATAATGGAAGATTAATTCAAGACGTTCAGTTGCAAAAGACACAGCAACCATATGCACCACATATTACGAAACAGAAGATATATCAGTGGTTATTAGCTCATAATTTGCAGGAATATTATCAACCGACAAGATATTATATTACTTTTGACTTCGAAACATTAGAGACTAAAGAAGAATTACAACTTTCTGAGTGTGCAACTTTGAACGCTTACTTAAAACCATTCATGGTATCATCAACGGTTAAATTAAATGATAAAACATATACGAGGAATTTTTGCTTAACTTCGAGTGATTCTTTTATTTCTGATTGGATTGAGTTTTTATTTTCAACCTGTTCATTAGTTGCTAAATCAAATATGAGTCAATACAATGAATTAATGAAGTCTCATACATTAAATGAAAAACAGAAGGAAGCATTTAAAGAACTTCTAGATGAGGAATTCAATAAAGTGAATATCATAGGTTTTAATTCGGGAAAGTTTGATTTAAATTTAATTCTTCGTGATTTAAACACTGCAAAATGGAAAATAAAATCAATGCTGGGTTCATCTTCACAATTTAAGCAAATCATTGTAAAGAAAACAAACGTTCCATATGAATTGAGATTTATTGACATCAGAAATTATATAGCGGGTGGGACATTAGACCAATTCACTCAAGATTTCGGAAATAATAAAACACGTGTTAAATCCTTTTTCCCTTATCAATTCATCACATGGGAAAATTACGAAGAAGAATTATATAAAGAGGAACCATTCACGAAAGATTCATTTTATTCAGCATTAACTCAAGAAACTATATCAGATAGTGATTATCAAATATATCTCAATGATGCTAAAAACTTTAAGAATAGATTAGAATATTTTATTCATTATTGCAATAAAGATGTTGAAATTATGATTGACCCAATTGATAAAATTATTGAAGAAACATTTGTTTATAAAATTGATATGCTTCATAATCTTTCTTTATCATCGAATGCTTCAATGATTCGTTACGCTTTAGCATATAAAGACTTTAATCCTAATGAAAAATATCCTGAGGAAGAGATAGAATCAAGTTTTGAATTAACGAAAAAGTATTGGAAATATAAAATTGAATCATATAAGAAACAAGATGAAAAAGCAGAAAGGGATACTAAAAATAATGTTTCAATGGATGATTTTCAATACTATCACGATTTAATCCTTTCATCTAAATGCAAAATGTGTGGTAAAGCGTTTACATATGCAAATAAACCAACATTGGATAGAATCGATAATGAAAAACCACATACCAAAGAAAATTGTCAGTTAATGTGTTGTTATTGCAATGTCGTAAAATCAAATAAAGATGAAGATGTTCAACGTTTAAGAATCAATTTAAGAAATTATGCATTAAAAAATAATTTACCAATGACTTTAGATTCAGTTGAAGCTTATCACATTCTCCGTAATGGAATTACTGGTGGTTTATCAAATGTTCAACATCGTGTTAATCTTAAAGGAATCACACATTAATAAACTTTCATATAATCCAGAAACTAAAACTGTATCAAATGAGGACACCACCAACATCATGACTCATTTCGTTGGTGTTGATTTTAATTCATTATATCCTTCATCATTTTCATCTAATCCTCATGATTTCATTCAATATACTGACCATAAAATGTATATGCCGGGAAGATTGAATGGTGTTATCATTTGTGATACAGCAACAAAGAAAGCAAAAGCACTGGGAATAATTAAGAAGAAAAATACTTTATTCGTGCTGAAGTAAAGGGTCACATTGATGAAAAATACATTAATGATTACATAAACTTTTTACCGATAATAAGAAACTTAGATATTATCACAGATGAAAAAACAATTGGCGGTTTTATGTATAATTACATGAAATCAAACAATCTACCAGTTGACCAGAAACAGAGGAAATTAACTCAATTAGCATCAACACACAACCAATATCAACCATTTTCTTCTTATTATCTTTGGTATCTAATAGACAGATTTCATTTTATCATCGATGATATTCAATCAATTTTAACATTTACGAAAAACACTTGTTTTAATGAATTTGCGAACAAATTTATGAACGAAAGACAAAAGGCTGAATTAGAAGGAAATAAAGGAAAAAGTTTATTTTGCAAGATTTCACTTAATGGATCATATGGTTACGATGCAATGAATACACAAAATTACGCAAAGACTAAAATAATGAATGCACAGAAGGCACGCGTTGCATGTATGTCAAATAAGTTTAAAAACATAAGAGAAATAGGTGAGGATACATATCAAGTGATGCTTAAAGATAGATTTTATAGATGTGATACATGTTTACAAGAGGCATTCTTCACTTTAGATAATGCTAAATACTGGTATTTGGTTTTCATTTATGATTTTATGTATAAATGCATGAATGTTAATCGTTTTCATTTCATTGAAGGTGATACTGATTCATCTTATTGGGCTATCGCTGGCGATCCAAGTCTTCCTAACACTCAAGCATTTCAAGCAATTGTAACCGATAAACAATTTTATGATAAAAACATTTTCAAATTCGCACCATTTGATTTCTTCTGTTTTGATGAGAAATTTAAACCTAAATTAAAGAATAAAGCTGAAGAAAAAGCACATGAGAAGAAGTTATTGGGTTTAGCAATTGAGAAACAAGGTGATAACATGGTTGCTTTATGCCCTAAATGTTATACATCATTCAACGGTTCAATTGATGGAAGTGATTTTAAAAAGATTGCACAAAAAATGAAAGGTGTTAGTTTACGACAAAATAAGCAATTAACACCTAAAAAATATTTGGATATAATAAATGATAAAGTGATATTTGATGGTCAAAATATTAATTTACAACTTAAAAATGGGTCAATGACTCGCTTAACAATCGGTAAGACTGCATTAACAGGAGCACACACTAAGGCTGTATGTTGTGAAAATGGATGTTGTATGCCATTTATTTAATACAATTTAAAATTTTATTTTTAATGAAATGCCACGGAAGAGACAAAAGGAACCAAATGGTTTTGATACTATGATTCAAAGAGGTGGGCACCCTTAAAACATTGATTTTATTTTTATATAAATGGATAACGTAGATTTAAAAATTTTAATTGATGATTTAGTACTTAATCAAAATTTTCTTAGTTATTATGATTTAAAAGCATATCTCCAAAAATATGATAACAATATAACGGGTGATGATATGGATTATTATTATCCATATTATAAAAATGAAATTTTGAAATATCATAATAAAATAATTTCTGAAATTAAAGACAAAATTAAAAATAATGAATATTCAAAGGGAAAAACTAAATCACAACTTAAACAGTTGAAAGATTTCAAAAATAAAGTATTAACAGAAGAAGATATTGATGAATTATATAAATTATATAATCCTGAGCCGCAAAAGCCAAAGGAACAAAAACAAAAGGTGCAAAACGCCCAGGTCCTTCAGACCATAAATGAAGCACAAGCTTTAATTTATGATTCATTAGTTAAACCATATTCAGCCCGACTTTTAAATGAAGATCAACTTTTGGAATTCATCCTTCAACATAAACTCGAAGCAGGAAAGTATATCAAACCTTTATATACAGCATATTTAAAACAAATGAATAGAATACATCCAGAATTAATGAAGGGGGGAATGAAATCCAAAATCAAAGCAGATAAAATTAAACCACTTGCAACACCAAAACCTCCAACGACAGTACCTCCTCCTCCTTCAGTTAATCCTTCATCATTCACTTTATTATATCCATTTCAAACATTAAAGAAGCAAAAAGATTTTAAAAAGTATTTCAAATATTAAATAAACCAACTGACCCAAAAATTCAACCGTTAAAGGAAAAATTTAGTCGCCCTTCATTTGCACCATATCCATATTCATACGAAATCGATCATCTGGAATATTCAAAAGGAAACGTTACTTATTTATTTGCCATTAACATTAACACTAGATATTTATATTGCATTCCGGTGAAAGGGAAAACAGAACAGGAAACAAGAAGAGCTATACAATACTTACTAGATCATGAAAGAGTAGATAATATCAGGGGTGATGGTGATAAAGGATTTCAGGCAGCTATGGCTCATTATTTCCCACAAATTAATTTTTTCTTTTCATCCTCTCCATATACGTTTCATAATAAAATAGTTGATGCGGTAATGAGAACTCTTAGAGATGCGTTAGGGGTTAACGGTCAGATATACTGGGATGGAAATCATGACTCCATCATACAACAGTTAGTATATTATTACAATAATACATGGCATAGAACTATAAACATGAAACCAGTGGAAATGAAAAATGATATTTCAAAAGAATGGGAATATATTAGAAAGCAAATGGAAAGGTTGAATGATGTTAAACGTGAACAATTAATTCGGGGCTCATGAATTTTAAACAAGGGGATAAAGTTTTGATTCATCTCGATTATGGAAAAACTGATAAATCAATGACAAAAAGAAGACGAAGATTTGACACAATAGCTGAATTTGTTAGATATATTAACGGCAATGCATTAGTTGAAGTTGACAATAAATTAATAGAAATTCCGATTTATTTTATTACTCCATTATATTTAAATAATATTTAATTTTTTTTATTTCGTAAGAAATGAGTGACAACGAAGCAGCCAAGAGTCCTGATTCAATTAAGATTCAGAGTCCAGACAATGAATATAAAAAGAAACTAAACAGAATTAAATCAAAAATATGCTATTACAAAAAGAAGCCGCAATGTGGTGGGGTTGATGCCCATAAAACTAATGGAACTGAAAACGATGAAGAGAGGAAAGAAATAATTGAAAAGTTAGAAACTTACCGTTCAATCCTTAAACTGAGTGAAGCAAAAATAAAAGAATTTAATAGAATAAATAAATTGATTGGAAGAGATGAATTTAATAAAGATGAATTTTTAAACTCAATCCAAATTTAATTTTTATTCCTCTTCGACAACGTCTCTCTTTCCATCATTACTGCATAACCACATTTTCTCAGTTTTAGTGGTTTGTTATTTTTAGCAAGTTCTCGCATCATTTTTATCGTTTCCTCCCTTGTTATGATTCGTGGTAAATTTTGAGCTTGTGGGGTATCCATTTATGATAAAAATAAAAATTTGTTATCAGTTATTTTATCGTTAAGTGACTCAAAGAGTCCGGAGACAAAGTCTCATGGTTTCAGGTTATTCAATAATTAATTATTTTT